GGGGCGGGGAATAGTGGTAGATACCTGGAATATATTGAACTGCAAAACCTTTTTAATTGCTACAGCTGACTAAACCACAGATTTGAGGATAAACTATTTTCTTTGAAGCCTTTGTAGGGGTCCATTTTGGGTTAAGGCCAGTGCAACATTGCTTTCTGAACCGTGTTGGCCGATGTGTGTGTGTATAGGAGCGTCCACTGCTCCCTGTAGTCCTGCTGGACAAGATGGCCGCTTCTGTCAACGGCTCCTAGTGAACTGATTGGCTGCCTTTGCCAAATACTGGCTCACTTCACCAAATGTCGCCTGTACTGGATGGAGGGATTGGACTGGTTTAATAATTAATGGTTCTGCTCCGCAGATAGTCACAGCTTTGCATACTTTTATCATATATTACATTTACATCTCTCTGTGGCTGGTTTTGGCTTTATGTATGCGGTAGCCCGCTACCTGTTACTTTTGACACGCGTTCCTCGTCTGATATTGGTCACCCCAACAAACTAAGTGGTAACCATTCAAACTCCCCAACTGCAAATGGTCATAAAGTTGAAGCAATTCTGCAACTCCGAGCAAAGAGGTGACTCCATAGATCAGGGGAAGGCAATGCCGGCTACGGTGAAACTAATAATCTGTCATGCCCGTGGCTTTCGGTCTTGCAATGCATCATGGGACTTGTAGTTGTGCAACATCTGGAGTGCTGAGGTTGCCTACCCCCTACAGATGGCTGCTGTGTCTTGCAGCTATTCAAATGGCATGACATAGATTCTCTGTCATTGTCTGGCTGACAACTTTCCCCCGGCTATTTGGACAAAAGTCAATTTAAAAATCTGCCGGCTAGTGGAGGCAGGGACACCCACAGACTGAATTTAAGCCGATTCCGCAGACAACGGCCAGAATCCAGTCCGTGTAGTGAAACTGGATATTGCCAAAACAGCAAGGCAGCTGGCACATTCTTGGGGCTCATTCGCACAGGCATGCGCTCTGTGCAAAAACCTGCTCCCGAGAGGAACAGTGCCGGCATGTAGGCGTGTCCTACCATAGAGAGGTACAGGCTGCTGCACGCAAATTACACGCAGCACCTGTTCCTCCCAGGAGCAGGTCTCTACATGCCTGTGTGAATGAGCCCTTAAAGAAACCTTCCATGGCAGCACCTGTATTTCTTTCAGGACAGGTTCTCTTATCAAATGATTATGGGGACAGGTTCCCTTTGGCACATGCTGCTAGTTTACATCTCCCATCATCCTTTGCACGCAGATAGAGAGGTGGAGGATGGGTAGCGGTTCTATATACCGAAGATTGTCTGAATTCGCTCTACTGATGGAATAAAAAGTGCATTATACAGATAAAGTTCAGGTTTTCTTATTTTGGAATGGACTGAAGTGCGCTCGCTATCGGCACCGCGTGCGTTTCCTAATCCTGTGTTCCTGTAAAGAGCATTGTGCTCCCTTATCATATCCTGAGACAGCTGTCACTAAGGCACTCGCGGGGTCGCCTGGAGCCGCCGGCATCAAAGTAGCGCAGTGACTCTTTTGCAGCAAGTGGTTGTCCCCCTATGCAGTGCCGTCCTGTTTGCGGTTACGCTTCTGTACTACACAGGACAAGGAGTTCCGTTCGGGTTTACAGTGCAAAATCCCCTCTGCGCCTAATGGGTCTTGTAAATGTATCACGTCACTACAATCGGCCAATCCTGTGATCAGCCCAAAGAACGTCCAAACCTCCAAGACCTGTTAGATGTAACAAAGAAGCAACAACTCGGGTCCTATTGTGATTTTGGTTTACGCATTTCTGAGGCAACCCGGAGTTCTTGTAGCCAATTTAATGTCTTCATCGCAGACTCCGCTCCCAGATTCACCGATTCGGGTGGAGGGGTCCCACCTGGCACTCCTAGGCCTCGCTGCTACATGTGTAAATATCGTCCTCCATCAGGATAATCATTTGCTCGAACCTGTGCTGTAACTGGCCGCGTCGGGTGACGGGGTTGGCTTCTAGAGCGCTGACGATCTGTGGGAATGGAAAGTCACATTTCAGATTCGAATGTTCAGTTGAATCTCTTAGTTTAAGGGGCTGATTTATAACTCTTCCGCCCAGCGTATAGCTGAGCGTATACCGTTCGCAAGGCTCTGCAGCTACTAGATGGCGCTGAGGAATATAGGAATTTCCACCACTAGATGGCGCTGAGGAACATAGGAAATTCCTATACTCCTACACACACTAGATGGCGCTGATGAGCATAGGAAATTCCTATGCTGCTCAGCACCATATGGTGGTGATCTCTCTGCTCCTCAGGTAGAACATTGCAAATGGCATTCACCCAGCTATATGCTATAAATCATCCCCAAAGTGTATGTAAGCCCCAACAAAGAATGTTTATATTTAATTTTAATCTATTAGTTTTAGGGGCTGATTTATAACTCTTCCACCCAGTGTACAGCTGGGTGAATGCTGTTCACGCAGCTCTACAGCCACTAGATGGTGCTGAGGAGCAGGGGCGTATTCACCACAAGACAAACAAGGCATTTGCTTTGTGCAGCACTTTCCAGGGTGGCAAAAAAACACCGCCCCCAATTTAATGCGGCGAGCCTGGCCACACAGGATCAGGCAAATAGAGGTGCCGGGTGGAGAAGGAGGCGGGGTCGAGTGAGATGCAGCCCGGCCGCCAGAGGTGCTGTCTCTTTCTGACAAGGAGATATCCATCAGGCAGGCTGAGGGGGGGCTTTAGGTAAGAGGAGCAGCACATGTGGTGAGGTCGGAGGTGGGCTATCCGGGGTCTGCAAGGTCTGAGGTGGGCTCCGCGGGGTCTGTGGTGGGCTCTGCAAGGTCTGAGGTGGGCTCTGCAAGGTCTGAGGTGGGCTCTGCAAGGTCTGAGGTGGGCTATGCGGGGTCTGTGGTGGGCTATGCTGGGTCTGTGGTGGGCTATGCGGGGTCTGTAGTGGGCTATGTGGGGTCTGTGGAGGGCTATGCGGGGTCTGTGGAAGGCTCTGCGGGGTCTGTGGAAGACTCTGCGGGGTCTAAGGAAGGCTGTGCAGAATCTATGGAGGGCTCTGCAAGGTCTGAGGTGGGCTCTGAGAGGGCTGAGACCCTCCCCGAGCCCACAAGAAATCCTTCACAGCCCGCTTCCCTGCTATGCTACTAAGACTTCCTGTCAGAAGTTGGATACAGCGTGCGCGCTGTATGCAGCGACTGACAGGTTTACTCGAAATGTCTTAAACAGGAAGGGATGGTCGGCTCTGCAAGGTCTGAGGTGGGCTATGCGGGGTCTGTGGTGGGCTATGCTGGGTCTGTGGTGGGCTATGCGGGGTCTGTAGTGGGCTATGTGGGGTCTGTGGAGGGCTATGCGGGGTCTGTGGAAGGCTCTGCGGGGTCTGTGGAAGACTCTGCGGGGTCTAAGGAAGGCTGTGCAGAATCTATGGAGGGCTCTGCAAGGTCTGAGGTGGGCTCTGAGAGGGCTGAGACCCTCCCCGAGCCCACAAGAAATCCTTCACAGCCCGCTTCCCTGCTATGCTACTAAGACTTCCTGTCAGAAGTTGGATACAGCGTGCGCGCTGTATGCAGCGACTGACAGGTTTACTCGAAATGTCTTAAACAGGAAGGGGTGGGGCAAATTTAGATTTGGGGGTGGGTTGCCCAAGTTTCATCTTGCCTAGGGCAGCACAAAACCTAAATACACCACTGCTGAGGAGCATAGGAAATTCCTATGCTCCTACTGCCACTAGATGGCGCTGCGGAGTATAGGGCATTCCTACACTCCTCAGCACCATCTAGTGGCAGTAGAGCGGTGTGAACAGCATTCACCCAGCTATATGCTGGGCAGAAGAGTTATAAATCAGACCCAAACTGTATGTAAGCCCTAACGTAGCAGGTTTATATTCATTTTGAATCTCCTGTTAGATAAAGGGGCTGATTTGTAACATTTCCACCCAGGATATAGTTGGGTGAATGCCGTTTGCACGGCTCTTATGCCGCTAGATGGCACTGAGAAGCACAGGAACCGCCACTAGAAAACTAAAGCAGCCACCACATCTAACGACTGGAAGGGTGCAATGTGTTACATTGCTGTTCTTGGGTTGGGTCTGTGGTTGCAGTTATAAACGTTTCACAGAGAAATTCAATGAAGGCGAAAAACAAATGTTGGAATGTAATATCATGAAATGTGATATCAGGTAAGTACCACAATATGGCCACTAGATGGAGCTGAGGAGCACAGAGAAGAATAGCTCCGCCGCATTGTTTATAATTAACCCCTTAAGGTTCTGATTCCTTACCTGCGAGCGATACTTTTTGGCGTATTTGTAAATCTCGGCAACGGCGACGTTGGTATTAAATTTATTGTAATATTTCTGGAGGAAAAAATAAAACAAAATGTACAAGTCAGAGAAAGAAACACGTGACCTCCGCGCTCGCTGTAGAGGTGGCGGTAAGGGGGGTTAGAAGTGGGCGTGTTATTGGTCTTACCCGCGACTCCTCCGCGAGGTGCGCGTTCATCTCCTGCTCGCTCAGCGGGCTCATCTCCTTCAGCTGTTGGTAATATTTCTGCACAATCTTCCGATACTCTGGAATTTCCTTGGCGTAGAGCAGCTTGTTGGTGGGGGAGTCCTGAAATAAAACTTATAGAGGTCAGCTGCCTTCCGAGGCTCCATGATGTCACTATATGATGTCACTATATGATGTCACTATATGATGTCACTATATGATGTCACTGCCTCTTAGTGAGCTGCACAGAAAAGAGGATCTCCGTCCTTCCCTACAGTCTTCTATCTGACCTCCGTCCTTCCCTTCAGTCTTCTATCTGACCTCCGTCCTTCCCTTCAGTCTTCTACCTGACCTCCGGCCTCCCCTTCAGTCTTCTATCTGACCTCCGTCCTTCCCTTCAGTCTTCTATCTGACCTCCGTCCTTCGTCCTTCCCTTCAGTCTTCTACCTGACCTCCGGCCTCCCCTTCAGTCTTCTATCTGACCTCCGTCCTTCCCTTCAGTCTCCTATCTGACCTCCGTCCTTCCCTTCAGTCTTCTATCTGACCTCCGTCCCTTCAGTCTTGCACAGTTGTACCGGCTCCTCTCCTGGACTGAAATGTCTTCCTCTGATATCACTGCACACTGCGAGCTTCTCACAATGTGCATTAGCAGCTGCAGCAAGTCAGATAGAGCCCGCCTCATTTCCTGGCTGGAGGACATCCAGTATCATCTAATGCTTTCCTCCCCAGCCTGACTGTCCCTGGCCCCACCCCTTTCATTCATAGATTTCAGTTCTTCCAATCGGAGGCTCAGCATCATGTGTGGGCGTTACCTAGACATGCAAATAGGAACACCCACTCCTTCACCCATCAAGGCATTTTTGATATTTGCATAACTCCTACCAAAAGCCAGACCACTGCTTGCATCAGAGGCTGAGAGCTCTTGAAAGCAGTAGTGAGGCAGGGTGCTGTTCTGTTGTAAGTACAGCACCCTGCCGGCCCCTCCCACTATCCATGATCTGCCTGCATTGCGTAAAGAAGCACAGAGACCCGGCGATGACATCACTGGGTCTAAAAAAAAAAAATGCAATGAAAAGAGAGCGGTTTTATGAAACATGTCATGATGAGGGGGAGGGGAAGAACCAGGGAAGGGAAATTAAATGCAGATTAAACTTCAGCTGTAATTGGCCTTTTTAAAACGAGACAAGACAATATATTTCCTGACAGCAGACAGGAACCTCGGCCGGGCCGCTGACATCCTCCTGCACTCCTCTGCGCTCGCAGCGCCTCCCCTGATAAGCTCTGTGTGTGGCCCCATTGCACATTCATGTCTCTGTCTTTGAAGTCGGCCCCTGAAGGCTAGTTTGGCTGTCAGGTCAATGAACCTTCTAGTAGCAGAAACAATCCCCAGCTGTGCCGCTAAGCCCCGGCCGCCGGCAAACCAAAACGGGCTGCGGGGTGCGAAAGATTCACCGGAGTGAACCATTATCACCCCCACAGGGTGTCAGATCCCCCCCCATGGCAAATCTCTCATCAATGGCTTATCACATGGTGACTTCAGACCAGACGGATCATCTGTGATACAATGCAACAGGATTCCCGAAGCTAATGAGACAATATAACCATACAGGTTGTGGAGAGAGGAGACTAAAGCAGGCGTAGGTAACCTCCAGCCGTTCAGCCGTGGCGGCACTACAAATCCCATCGTGCATCTGCCTCTGGGAGTCATGTCTGAAGCTGTCAGTCTTGCAATGCCTCATGGGAATTGTAGTTCCACCACAGCTGGAGTTTGCCTCTAATGCAGGGGTAGCCAAACTCCGGCCCTCCAGCTGTGGTGAAACTACAAATCCCATGATGCATCTCTCCCTGGGAGTCATGTCTGTGGCTGTGATAATCTTGCAATGCCTCATGGGATTTGTTGTTCCACCACAGCTGGAGGGCCGGAGTTTGGCCACCCCTGCTCTAATGCATTCCACTACGCTCCTCCCCTGGCAGCTACATAGCAGGTTATGTAGGGAGGTCATAGGAAGTGTGAAGGAGCTGGCCCATGACAGGTGGTAAATAGACACTCCCAGAAGAGGAGAGGGCTGTGCCCTGCAAGAAAGGAGGGGGCGGGGCTAGGAAATTGCCTATCTCTGGACTAAAGGAATCAAAAAGTTCTCCAACCAATCACTGCATAGCACAGTGCAGCCGTCATAGAACAGAAGGTGATCACATGTCTCATTCCATCACATATCCCAAAAAATAAGAGGATTATTCCTCATTCCAGGACAGTGGGCGGAGCTTTGCTAATCATTTCTTTATGGCCCATCAGCCAGAAGACCGTCCAGAACTGCTGCTGTATAGTGCAAATGTAGCCCAAAATTACAGAGCCATTTAATCCGAACTACACACAGCTGTTTCAGGCTTGTTGGTTATCATCAGTGCAGTATATGGAATCAATGGCTGCTACGTAGTTAGACTTGGGACCCAACAAGACAATATGACCATACAGGCGAGAAGGGACTAAAGGAAGCCTCACCTTTCCAAGCTGCATATCCGAGATGGAGCAGGCGTCTATGAAGGCCTGAGCGATGACGGACAGACAGGCGTCCATGTGGTCCGACTTTTCCATATCGAAGACAAACTCGGGGTTCTTCAGGATATTCACCCAGAAACGCAGAGGAAGGCTGCAGAGAGACGATGACGATACATGAAGCATAGCATGGAACAAAAATTGCATAAGGAGAGCTTCCCATCAATGAAAACAATCAGGAGATCCGGATATACGAGCTGCTGAAGTTATAGGTTTAGACTTTTCCTGGAAATATCAGACTCCACCCAACCAATCCCATCTTTAACCCAACCCTACCGGTCCTTTATTGTGATAAGTGGCCGATCGGGAAATTCTCATATAACACATATAAAGCACACTGCACCTTCCACCTTGAATCCAAAGGTTATGCCAACTATCAACTATTCTCCACAAACACATTGTCAATATAGTATCAAAAATAGGGTCCCAGTATGGGCTACAGACCACATAGGGTCCCAATATGGGCTAAAGACCACATAGGGTCCCAGTATGGGCTACAGACCACATAGGGTTCCAATATGGGCTACAGACCACATAGGGTCCCAGTATGGGCTACAGACCACATTGGGTTCCAATATGGGCTACAGACCACATTGGGTTCCAATATGGGCTACAGACCACATAGGGTTCCATTATGGGCTACAGACCACATAGTGTTCCAATATGGGCTACAGACCACATAGGGTTCCAATATGGGCTACAGACCACATAGGGTCCCAATATGGGCTACAGACCACATAGGGTCCCAATATGGGCTACAGACCACATAGTGTCCCAATATGGGCTAAAGACCACATAGGGTCCCAATATGGGCTACAGGCCACATAGGGTCCCAATATGGGCTACAGGCCACATAGGGTCCCAATATGGGCTACAGGTCAAACAGGGTCCCAATATGGGCTACAGGCCACATAGGGTCCCAATATGGGCTACAGGTCACACAGGGTCCCAATATGGGCTACAGGCCACATAGTGTTCCAATATGGGCTACAGACCACATAGGGTCCAAATATGGGCTACAGACCACATAGGGTCCCAATATGGGCTACAGACCACACAGTGTCCCAATATGGGCTACAGATCACATAGGGTCCCAATATGGGCTACAGACTGAAATTGGTCCCAATATGGGCTACAGACTGAAATTGGTCCCAATATGGTCTATAGACTGAACACGGTAACAATATGGTGTATTGCCTGAATATGGTTCCAATATGGGCTATAGCCTGAACATGGTCCTAATATGGTCTATAGCCTGAACATGGTCCCAATATGGTCTCTAGCCTAAACATGGTCCCAATATGGTCTCTAGCCTAAACATGATCCCAATATGGTCTATAGCCTGTACATGGTCCTAATATGGTCTATAGCCTGAACATGGTCCCAATATGGTCTCTAGCCTAAACATGGTCCCAATATGGTCTCTAGCCTAAACATGATCCCAATATGGTCTATAGCCTGTACATGGTCCTAATATGGTCTATAGCCTGAACATGGTCCCAATATGGTCTATAGCCTGAACATGGTCCCAATATGGTCTATAGCCTGAACATGGTCCTAATATGGTCTATAGCCTGAACATGGTCCTAATATGGTCTATAGCCTGAACATGGTCCCAATATGGTCTATAGCCTGAACATGGTCCTAATATGGGCTGTAGACCTTTATCATATGTTTAATTTAAAGGCCAACTCCGGGAACGATGCCCCCGCTGCAGTCCGGCAAGTTGTAGAGTTCCTTTATTGTAAATTCAACGGCTGTAATGAGATCTTCCTCCTTCTCCCCGCAAATCTGAAGTATACCCGAAGGTGGAAGTCCAGCCCCCGCTGACCTTCCGCAGTTCTCACAGATCTCAGCGCCGGGATCAGATCTCCATCCCGCTAACCACCTGGCCAATCACAAAGCGGAGTTTGGGTCTGCTGGCTTTGGCTTGGCGGGAAGGAAAGGAAGCGGAGACACAGCCTCAGCGTTGAGGTCTATAAGACCGGCGCACCTTCTGCAGGTGACACTCTCACACAAGCTGGCTGCCGCTCTCACCTGTTGGTCTTCCAGATGTGCAGCGTGTCCGGGTCGGAGATTCCGCGTTTCTCCGCCTGCTCCTCCAGGAAGTCGAAGAAGTATTTGATGGCGAGAGGCGGCCGGTCCTCCCGGATGCTGAGGATGGCCCGGAACAGGTCATCCAGGAATTTCTGCAGAGTTCCCTGAAGTCCGAGAAGAAAGCAGAGAAATGACCGTGCGGCCAAGAAAGTGTGACCCCGCCCCTTGCAGGAGCTCCATATATAAAGTCACCCAAAAGTATCCACCAAACACTGAAATATTAGATTTGGGGGGATCCTGCAATGTTACACTAATATGAAGGGTTCAAAAAATGAACAAAACCAAAAATAACAAGAATCTAACCATTAATTTCTGCAGCAGGGGGGAGGGGGGATTGGAGGGCGATAAATGTTAGAGCTCCTGGACATCAGAGACCACCGGTAATTACAGCAGAATTTATTTTCTTATTAATGTTTTTTATTATTTATGATTATTACTTAATA